TCTCTCTCTCTCTCTCTCTCTCTCTCTCTCTCTCTCTCTCTCTCTCTCTCTCTCTCTCTCTCTCCCTCTCTCCCTCTCTCTCCCTCTCTCCCTCTCTCTCTCCCTCTCCCTCTCTCTCTCTCGCTCTCTCTCTCTCTCTCTCTCTCTCTATCTATCTCTCTTTCCCATCCCCACTTTCTACCTAGCATCAATACGCACAATTTCACCTACGACCCAAAACGATACTATCAGTCCCTGCACACATGTTTTGCAGGAAGACAGGCAGGTGGCGAACTATGATTACGGTCGACAACTGGACGAACCAGTCGCGATGTCGCGAAACTGTCGTCACCCTGATGAAGCGTCGGCAGATTTAAATAGGCGCTGTCACCACCAGATATGCAGTGGCCGGAATAAGACGGGATTTAGTTTGGCAACGGGTCGCTGAGACCGGCGACAATTATTGCTGGAGAGCAATGTGGTTATTAGTGAACATCGGACACGTGTCACTGGACGGTTTCTGGACACAGGCACGAGACACGTGACAGTGGACATAAGCAGTGCCTATGTCTAGTGCCTATTAGGCACGTGACACTGGACACGTGTTACTAGACACTTTACACAGTCAATGAATGCTAGGCACTGGACAGTCACTGGATACTGGACACTGAACACTGATCACGTGTCACTTGTCACAGTCATTGAATACTGGACACTGGACACTGGTCACGTGTCACTGGACACAGTCATTGGATACCTACTGGACACTGTTTTTTTTTGGGGGGGGGGGCAGTGGACACGTGTTACTGGATGTTCGATGAATTTTTGTTTACACGTCTTGGGAAGCTAATAAAGCGAAATGTCGGGCAATTGATGTATCTTATCTGAATATATTAACAGTTTATGGACTAACGATTTACGTGATTGATTATTTTATGAATAGTCTGGAGCAACGACTTACGTAAGGTCTTTGGTGCACTGGATGCTATCGCTTAACCATTTTTTTGCGTTTTGTTTCTGTTTCCCTTTCTGATACTTAACCGGTTTGCGAAAAAGTTGCACTTAAATGTGAATTTCGGTGTAACAACTCCGCTGCCTTTCGGCACACGCTGGCCACCTCCTCCCCTGACAGGCTGACGTGGACGAGTGTCAGCCAGTGATGGGTCACATCGCGACTATCGCCGAATGTACGCAGAGCACTATCGTGGCTTCCCCTATTGGGGCTTCACTGATCAAATAATGTGCGAGTGTGGCAGAAGTAAGTGAAACAGCATAGATGCCCGCGCTTAGCATGGTTCTTATATGACCGTCACAAGCTTCCCGAATTGAATTGTTTTCAGATAATGGGATTGTGATAAGATAATATCTTCCCAGTGCACTGTTGATATAAATCCTGTTCTGGAAAGTGCTAAATTGGGATCAACGACCAATATTTATCTGATGTAGATAAATAATAAAAACTATTTATTATTTATCTACATCGTTGGGCTGTTACAAATCCTATTGCTGCTTATCAGTTTGACTGATCTATTATAAGAATAACATCCAGAATAGAACGCACCTGGTAACGGTGCCTACTTTCTCCCGATTATCTGTCCCTGTTTCTCCTTCCCCTGCCTTCATTTTTTTTTTTTTGCACACAGCTCTGCAACCGGGCTGCAACAGAAGCAGGCACAGCAAGTCCTGTTTGACATCGATTACCTGCGTGCCTGGTGCCGCGCGAGAATGAAATTTTGCGGACTCGAAACAATAGACCTACGATAACCTACTTTTATAGGGCGCAGAACAGGCTGTAATTGCCTTGGATTAAACGATGCGAGCGCATAGTTGGGAAGATACCGTAGGAACTCAATATTAGGTCCGCGAGATAACGACTAACCAATCAAAAGATTGATGTGTTCGAGAGTACCCAACAAGAAGTTTCACAAAAGCTCTCTTACAATATTCAAAAACGTAAGCTATATTGAAAAAAATATGTTCACATTTTGCTCAACCTGCGACTTTAATGACAATGAATAACGTGAATGAATGCGTTTAGTTTTCGCATGCTGTGCATTTCCCATTAAGATGGGGAACTCTAAGAGAAAATGCAGACGAAATCAATTATAGGGGTAAGTTTCGAATCATGTGGTCATAGATAGTGGTTATAATAACATTATAACTGCATATATTTTTACTTCAATGTACATATGTTTTGCGCAGCAAACATTCAAACATGATTCGTTTTCGATAGTCGCTTCTCTGGCGCTTCACTCGCTCGCTCGTAGCTGTCACACAGGAAATGTTTGCTGCTGGCCAAGGCCCCAAATACATCAGGCTGCTGGCATGCGAGGGAATCCCGGTACCCGATGGGAGCAGCGGCTGCGAATTGGATAGTGGCTACCTGAAACCCATCCTTTGCTCATCTTGAATGTGCCCTCGACACTGACCAATGGTACAAATTCGACCACCACCACGTGGACCAACTGAAAAGTGAATCTGTGCTGAGCTCGGCGGCCTACATCCTGTTCTTCTCGACCATTCAGGAATTGACCTTTACCGGCTAGCCCGCCCGAGCCGGCTGCGCCGACCGCCATCGGCAATGTATTCGTCGGAGTCCGTGAACCCGCTGGACGCACTCATATGCTGCCTCCCTTTTACGGATGCATCAAAAAGCACGCCACGATGGCAAATGAAATGTGCCGTGCATCGTGGCTAAAGTGGTACAAATTATTCGGGAAATAAACAGGAAAAATTCAAAATTGCAGAGTGAAATTCGTTTTGAAATGAAATTCATAATTTCGTTCCTCAAAACACAGTAATTGGTGATAGTAGATGTTCTCATCAAACCCTTATCGTCCATATAAATGAGCTGTAAAGGAAGTGAAAAATTTATTTCAGTTACATAAGCAGATTCAAAATGCAATAACAATGTCATATGATTAAAACTTATCGTGATACGCTTGCATGTGATGCATCGCCGCTTGCATTGATGCGACTACAGTTGCCTGTGATATGTCTATGGATATATACTATTGTGTTAACCCGCGCCAGGCTGGGGGTCCTGGATTTCCACGCCCTGCTGGGGGGGGGGGGTGTTTGAACACCCCCCCCCCCCTTCTAACTCGGCTCCTGGGCCACGTAGCGATACGCGGAAGGTGGCGTTCCAAAGAGCGCCAAAAATAATGACGAAATCACTTCGGTCACTTTTTTGGTCAGGTCAAAGGTCAGGTCACCAGAGGTCATTGAAGGCAAAATTTCGCCGATTTTCAGGTCGAATGTCGACAATTTCCAGGAAACCAACGCATAACTCGGGAACCAATAAAGCTACAGCGCCGCGGAAAAGCGCATTCGATAGCCCTATTAACGCCCTTTCTGAGTAATTCTCTCAGATTTGACCTAACGTCAACGGTTTTGCCTGCAGGGGGCAAAAACTGCAAAAATAGCCGATTTTTTCGGAAACAGTTTTCTGCAATAACTTTTGACCCAAGCCTTGTACGAGCTTACTTTTACCAGAATCGTGTTCCTCTCGTCAAGACGCATCGAATGAACTATAACTTGACCTTGAAAATTTGACCTCAGGTCAAGGTCATGACCTGACCGGAAAGGGTCATGTTGCATATCAGTCGATCCGTATCGTCGAGCTGAGCACATCTAAGGCGTTTTCACCGCTCTAACAGGCCTCTATCAAAAGTTATTTGCGAAAAACTGTTAGACACCATTCGTGACCTGAGATGACCTCAGAGGCATAAGTAGGGGTCACGGACACTATTTTCATGTTCAGTGTGTCTAAACCACTTGTAATTCAGTGTTTGGGAGTGTTTATAATGTCTTTCGTCCAAAAGAGGCGCATTTCAATTTTCTCCCATTGACTTATAATAGAGAGGTCGCAAAATTGAACTGACCTTAGGTCACCGATATCAAAATTCTGAGATATACATTTTATAGATACTGTTACCCTTATCAATCGCTGAAAGTTTCAAAGCGATCGGTCACTCGGTGTAGCTATGGCAGACATGGAAACTTTTTATGAGGTGAGGTCACTTCAAGTGACCTACCTGGTGACCTGACCTTGAATGACCTTGGTCTGAAATTTTCACAACATGTGTAGAATTGATGTATGATAAGGTGTACCAAAAACGGCGGCGCGATATTCGCGAAAAACCACAAGGGGGGATGTTCAACCCCCCCCCCCCCCAGCAGGGCGCGGGTTAAAGTTTGTCTAATGTTTCGCCCGCATTTCATGTCATTGCAGCTTAATTGGAATCACAAGACTGTCGATCACAAGAAGGCTTGATCACTTTGCAAAACAATTGTTTATTGAGGATGAAAACCGGACATCAAACATTTGTGACATAGAACCGGTGGCTTTAACTATGATTTGGGCTGTGATTGAATAGCACTAAAGTCGAGACTGTCGGATCGCTTTAAGAACACAAATAAATACGACACGAGACGAGCAATAGGAGAGAATAGAAAGTACAAAGTAAAGTCAAGGTAGGACGATATTTTTAGCTAGAAAGTGGTTAATGTGTTGAGGCTTCACGTGCGCTTTTCATTAAAGATGAAGCGATTGGACAGGTTTAGAAATCCGACTGTAGCTGTTCATCACTTGATCGGAGGACATCCTCCTATAGGTTCTCATGTCCTTAAAATGGCTTCTGTACATTCTATCATAGTCCTGTGATCAAATGTTTTGCTGTTAACACCCAAGCACGCCTTGAATATGCAGTGTTTTACTAGTGGCGACAGTGCACTTCCTTGCAGTACCCCGCTCGGCACGTGTCACAGTGGCGGGTGGCGCCGCCTTTCGCCACACATTCCTCACCTAACAACCCTCCGCGACAATCTCGGAGTGCGGGCATCTGACCCGGCGACAGATCGGAGCGGCAAAGCCGGTCTTACGACCCCAGATTTACACTTTTCTGAAGGGAACCGGTCGCCCGAGCGGCTGATTGTCGCCGAAATGAGTGCGTGCGATGACCAGGGCGGGACCGGAACTCTGCGTGTGGGGACTGGGCCGGGTCACGCGCAGTATTTAACCGGCCACCCCCGGACTGATTGGCGCAGTGGCCATTGGTTCGGGTGACGGGGACGGTCAGTTGGAGACATGCTGCTGCGAACGTGTATCGGAGTGTTAATTGTGAGTGCTATGGGGAAAGACGGACAGTTGGCAGAGGGTAATGGGAAAGAGACTGTCTTTACCAATATTTCACCTTAGCATGTGATCATGTTGACAGGCGTTCAATTCTTTCTTTCTTTCCTTCTTTCTTTTCAATTACTTTTTATTTGTCTTGGTTTTTTAATAGATAGGTAAAGATGTCATAAAATGTTAATTATAGCTAACAATAAAAATGCTAACTGATATTATCATCACTTATAGGAAGTAAGAATAAATATGATAAGATGAGCATTATTGGTTTTTTTACCTCCGATACACTGACCCGACATTGACCTTTCCCCTTTTTCTGCCAGGTGGGATGCATTGCAGCCGACACCCAAAACTCCACAGAGACGTCCAGCGGCAATGGCACAGAGACCTCCCACCGTAGTGGCCGGTACCTCTTCCAGTACCTCCACAACTGGCTTGGCCTGACCGCCGCCACAACCACCAGCCGACCCATAGTCAAATGTCAGGTGAGAAAACTTCCGGAAAACCGAGAGGGGACCTTTTAGTGTGACGCCTATGGTCTTGTGTTCTTGTTTGTCTAGCGCGACCGCCGAGGACCGCAATTTGTGCTCAATATTGTGATATTTTTTCAACGTTTTATGTAGGCCGATCTTCAAAGGACAAGCTTATTTTTATGATTTGATACTAATTGATATAATGATTCAAAATGTGCCGTGCACCAGTCCATAACATGTCCCTGTCGGTTTTTCAGGGCGCCGGATGCGGCGGCGGTGAGATCTCCGTCATCCCCGTGGTCTATGTGCCGGCCAAGACGAAGGAATGTGACTATTCCCGTCCCTGCGCCAGTGGCCACTGCCTCTCCGGAAAGTGTGTGGCCTGTTCCAGCAGCGTCCACTGCGGCGCGGGACTGGTCTGCAGTAACTACAAGTGCGTGCCGTGCTCCAATGATCACCAGTGCGCCGGAACCTCCGTCTGCGAGCACCACAGGTGTGTCCAGTGCCGCTCCCAGGGCGACTGTCCGTACGGTCAGACATGCCTCCAGAACAAGTGCAGGACGGTGGTGTAGATCAGCGAGTGTCAGACCGACGCCGAGTGTCAGCTGGGAAAACGCTGCTTGCAGGGCAAGTGCACGGCCGTTCAGGTCATCCAGTGCTACAGCGACGCCAACTGCGCTTACGGTCAGCAGTGTCAGAATTTCCAGTGCAGGCAGAAACTGACCAACCAGTGCAGCAGCCACGCAGATTGTCCCTACGACCAGCAATGCCAGAACTACCGGTGTACGGTGGTGCTAGTGCAAACTCATCAATGCAACAGCAACGCAGAGTGTCCTTACGGCCAGCAATGCCAAAACTATCAATGCACGGTGGTACCGGTGGTACTTGTACAGACCCATCAATGTAACAGCAACGCAGAGTGTCCCTACGGGCAACAATGCCAGAACTATCAATGCAAGACGGTCCAGACTCCCCAACGTACCACCAACGCAGAGTGTCCCTATGGGCAGCAGTGCCAGAACTATCAGTGCAAGACGGTCCAGACTCCCCAATGTACCACCAACGCAGAGTGTCCCTATGGGCAGCAATGCCAGAACTATCAGTGCAAGACGGTCCAGACTCCCCAATGTACCACCAACGCAGATTGTCCCTATGGGCAGCAATGTCAGAACTATCAGTGCAAGACGGTGCAGACTCCCCAATGTACCACCAACGCAGAGTGTCCCTACGGTCAACAATGCCAGAACTATCAATGCATACCGGTACAAACCAATCAATGTCGCACCGATTCCGATTGCCCACAGGGTCACCGTTGTTTGCAGGGTAAGTGCGCAGCCGTCCAGCCTAACGAGTGCAACGAAGATGCCGACTGTCCACTCGGACACCAGTGCCTCCAGAACCAATGCAGGCCGGGACAGGCCAACCAATGTTACAGCGACTCCCAGTGCCCTCACGGACAAGTCTGCAGGGCTAACCAGTGCACGGTTGTTCAGACCGGACAGTGCCAGAAAGATACCGACTGTCCCTTCGGCCACGCCTGCTGGGAGAACGAGTGTACCCCGGGTAAGTCGAAGAAGTGCCACAGCGACTCAGAGTGTGGTGTGAACCAGAAGTGCCGGGATGGCGCGTGCACGGATGTGACGGGGCCGCATCAGTCTTGTTCAATCAAGGTACCTTGTCCGCCCGGCCAGAAGTGTCGCGACGGTGTCTGCCAGGAAGCGGACGACTCGAGCATCTCCTGCTGGCAGAACTCCCAGTGCAAGTCTCACGTGTGCAGCAGTCGCGGGTTCTGCGCCGAATGCTCCAACGACGACCACTGTGCCCTTGGCCACTTTTGCTACAACTACCGCTGCGAGAAGCGTCTGCCGACCCTCAGTAAGTGCAATGCCAACAATCAGTGCTGGTCAGACATCTGCAGCAACGGCCTCTGCGTCAACTGTCGCAGCTCCTCCGACTGCCCGGGCCACCAGTTCTGCAACGTGTTCAAGTGCCAGGCGCTGGGTCTGTACAACGAGGGCTGTCGCGCCGACAGTCACTGCCAGTCCGGCAAGTGCAGCAAGCTCAACACCTGCGTGCACTGCAAGGGGCAGGCCGACTGTCATCCGGGGGAGTTCTGCAGCTACAAGGGCCTCTGCGAGACGAAAGCCGACCTCCTGGACAACTGCGAGTCTAACACTCAGTGTGTGAGCGGCCTGTGCGGGTACAGCGGCTTCTGCGTGCAGTGCCGCGTCAACGCCGACTGCGACGCCCAGGAGCGATGCAAGGACTCCGTCTGCCGACCGAAGCTCTCGCTCGGACACTCCTGCAAGCACGACACGGACTGCTCCTCGAGCAAGTGTCGCGGCAACGTGTGCGTCCAGTGCACCAGCCGCTCCCACTGCTCCCGCGGTGAGTTCTGCCAGGCGGGCGTCTGTCAGGCCAAGAGTCCCCTCGGCGCCAAGTGCGAGGAGGACGATCAGTGCGCCTCCACGCACTGCAAGCGCGGCCTGCGCGAGTGTGTGGCCTGCACGAGGGACGTCCACTGCGGCTCCGGCAGGTTCTGTATCGACGACAGGTGCCTGGAGCGGATCCCCGTCGGCAGCTGCTGCCGGAGCTCCGCCACGTGCGAGTCGGGAGCCTTCTGTGACTCTGAGACGGACGGCCCGGCCCTGGCGCGGTGCACTTCCCAGAGCCAGCGGGGAGTGTGCGCCTTCCAGCCGGACGGTGACGGCACGGGGGTGGATGATAGCGGACGCAGATAAGGATTATGAACGGCTGGAAACCCACGGTAAACTATTTCCTCAAAGAGATCTTCGATATTAACGAGAGGTGCGAGGCCATGAATGGAGGAATCTGAGAAACGTATGCTCGAAAGACCAGTACTTGATGGAAAAATGACAGACTCCGCGAGCTCTAGACCCTTTAGGGCAGTGGTCGGCAGGTCCTCCGGGGTCGTGCCCCCTTTTTTGGCGCCAGGCAGGGCCATTACCCCCACCTACCAGACCCCATTGGTGATACAACCAAGGTTACTGAAATTCCATACTTTTCCGTGACTCTTTGGGTACCATATCTGCGAGAAACCGCAGGCCCCCTCCCCTGCGGTTCTCGCAAATATATCAAAAACGTTGGCACGGAGCGCCACCATTTTGGAACATTTTATCATACATCGTTTCTGCACATGTTGTGAATATTTCAGACCAGAGTCACTCGAGGTCAGGTCACCAGATCACGTCAAGTGACCTCACCTCAGTAAAGACTGCAACGCCTGCTTTAGCTGCATTGAGTGACAGATCTCTTTCAAGCTTTCAGGAATTGATAAAGGCAACAACATGTACAAAATTTGTATCTCGGAGATTTGATGTCGGTGACCAAAGTTCAGGTCAATTTCACGCCCTCACCCATTATCAATGGGAGAGGGCGCAAAGTCAATGGTAGAAAATTGAAAGGCGCCTCTTTTGGGCCAGTGTCATTCCTAACACTGTGACACTCTTATTTACAAGTAAACATGACCGCTGAACCGGAAAATTGCACCCGTGACCAACCCCGTTGTATGTCCCTGAGGTCATTTCAGGTCATGAATGGTAGCTAACAGCTATTCGCTAATAACTTTGATAAAGGCATCCCAGAGCGATGAAAATGCCTTAGATGTGTTCAGCTCGACGATACGGATCGACTGATGTGCAACAAAACCTTCGATGCTTCTCGACGGGAGGATCACGATGCTGATAAAAGTGAGCTCTTGTAAGTTTTGAGTGAAAAGTTATTTAAGAAAACTATCAGCAAGCAACGTACATTTTTAATTTTGGCAGCTTTTGTCTCCCATGCAGGCTAAACCATCTTCGGTTGAATCTGAGGGCAGGCCTCAGAAAAAAACGTTAAGAGAGCTATCGAATGCGTTTTTCCGCAGCGCTGTAGCTCTATCCTTTCCTGAGCTATAGGCCAGTTTATCGAAAACTGTCAAAGGTTGACCTGTAAATTGGCGAAATTTTACGTTCGATGACCTCTGGTGACCTGACCTTTGATTTGACCTAAAAGGTGACCATAGTTTTTTCTTCATCATTTCTTACGCTCTTTCGATCGCCGACTACGGCGTTTCGCTAGTGACCCAGGAGCCAAGTTAATAGGGGTTGTTCAACCTCCATCTCCAGCAGGGCGTGGAAATCCAGGAGCCCCAGCGGGGCGCGGGTTAACCTCCATACGTATAGGTGTAGCGGGTATTTTTCGAGAATAGATCACATTAAAAGGGTCGGATCACGAAAAAAAAACTGTACCATCGAGCCGATCATTTTTATCTGTCCTGAAAATGGCATGACCTTAACCCGAATAACCGTTGATTTGTGAGATCCTTCTTGAGATCATGGCAGGCCACAAAATCTCACTTCAAGAAGTTACAGTAGGACCCGATTAACTCGGCAGTTGTTATTGACCTATGGAAGGTCACCCAATGACCAACGACCTTTAAGTTGGGTAGCAGCGGCTGCTTATCTTCACGGGCAACACGCTCAATTTTTCTGCAAAGCTCCAGCTCAGAGACCGAGATGCTCAGGTCAGGGTGCAATGGACGACTCCTCTCCCTTGCGTTAGTGACTGTGAAAACGCCAATAGACGAGCGCCGGCTAGTACATGACAGTTACTTTCCACGACTGTACGGAATGGTGAGCAGCTACATGAAAATTGGCATGCGCCAGCTAATCAGTTCATGTTTTGTGCGTTTGACCTCGACTAATCTTTGAATCCTGGGGCACAAAAGTTGCGATGTTTGTCCACATCCATCAAGGGAGCCATTAATTCTAAAAAAGATGAGGCTTTCTCAGAGGCCCTCATTACCCCCCGCCGAAGGGCGCCATTACCCCCAAAGGGGGCATGCCCCACCATTTGCCGACCCCTGCTTTAGGGTTATCACGTTCTTGAATAATAAGATTAATGTGTCTCAGGCGCCGCTGCATTGCGGAGGCATAGTTGTTAAAGGATTTTAGCCTTATTGTCCGATATGTTCAGGGCAATGGTTGCTTGTTTTGCCACACTGTTTCGTTGGCGGGCGCTTATTTGTGCTTTTGTTGTTGTATGCATTGTGTGTCCTGCATCGTTCGCAATAAATATTTATTGAACTAGCTTTGGGTTTGATCGAAGTTGACACTTGAAGATAGCCTATTGGTGCACCCAAAAAGCGGTATTATACATTGCAGGAGCACTTCGTAAATACTGCACATTGCACTTCTCTCCTAATTAAACCCAATTAAAATCCAGGAACTTGTTATAGTTTTTAGTAGTGCTTATGCAAAACAAAAGCAAAGCTTTGACTTGATTAGTTAGTTACAGTCAACTAGAGAACATTGCAAATTACCATACTTTGACAATAGTGAAACCAAGAAATTTACCTGACATCATGCCGCAGTGGAAAATCAGAGATGGTGCCGATTGTAGCCGCGTAGTCGGTCCTTACAACACCCTGCGAGCTTGATCAGTTCGGTGACCGGCTTTGCTCTGGCATGGCGACGAAGCTACAAAAAGTGTACTAGGTCGGGCCATTTAAAGTGAGCTGTTGACCTGAGCTTTTTTGAATGGCATGAGGCTGCCGCTCGCAAACGATAGTGTAACTCAGTGGCGCGGGAACTACTTTCAGACGTGGGGGGGGGGGGGGGTAATCGGGCTGTGGGCTGTGGGAGGCCAGTTTGGCCTCTTGGGCCCGGTCTCACAGCGATATTTCAGTGTATAGGTAAAGACAGTCAACCTCATTCATGTAGGATGTGAAAGATCGGGTTCAGGTGGGAAGGTCTTGCATAATGTCAGCCCAATGGGCATCCAGCCTGGTCTTGAATTGGTTGGCTGACTTAGCTGATACGACTGCTTGCGGGAGGGCATCCCACGAGTTTGTAGCCCGCGAACTGAACGAGTGGCTTCGAATGAGCATCGCGGCCCGCGGCTTGATCAGCTTCCGCTCATAGCCTCTTGTCCTTCCTGAGGTTGATCTGGTGAGCAGCTTCTCAGTGGGGACCGCCATGTCACCATACAAAATCTGACAGACAGCTATCATGCTCCACATTGACGTCTGTTGTGAAGCGAAGGGAGCTTCAGTGCACACAGCCTCTCTGGGTGAGGCAGGCATCGGATAGCCCGTACCAGGCGAGTAGCTCTTCGCTGCACCCGCTCAACTTTTTCTGGTCCAGCTTACTAAAAGGACCCCATACGAGACTCCCATCCTTGATCTTTAGACTTTCAGGGATCCCGTTTGTGACGGGGGACCAGTCCGATGGGTCTCCCTGAACCTGCACTCTGTAGGTGTCCAGTCAGGAACGACTCTATCCATCGTAGGATTTTGGCTGCCAGAGATACCACCAGAGGCGGATCCAGCTCAGAGTTTTTTTTTTGGGGGGGGGGGGGGCAAACCATAACAATTTATCGATTCTTTCCATGCATCGTCCATAGGCGTAATGTTAAAATTATGCCGTTTGGGGGGGGGGGCAAATGCCCATTTTGTCCCCCCTGGATCCGCCACTGGATGCCACCATAAGCTTTCAGCGTCCCGAGGATGTGCTTATGAGGGACCGAGTCGAAAGCTTTTGCAAAGTCAAGTTTGCATACGTCAAGTGGTTTGTCGTCCTCAATAGCTGCGCTCCAGTCATCCAGAACCTCCAAGAGCTGAGATGCACAAGACCACTTCGGCAGAAGCCCATACTAAGCTGGGTGCAGCAGGCCATGGTCAGTTAGGTGCGAGATCAGCCGGTCCCTCACTATGGACTCGAGCACCTTGGAGGAGGACCGAAGTGAGGCTCACTGGCCGGTAGTTTCCGGGGGACTGTTTGTATCCTTTCTTGCGGACCGGGGCCACATTCCCAGTCTTCCAGTCCAGAATAAGCATTCCGGAATACAGCGACTTCCTGAACAGTGTGCATGGAGAGGAAGACTATTTGCAGAATCTCGGAGGGATGTTGGATGAAGGTCGGTTGTGGAGGTCGTAGCCTTACCGGATTAAAGTAAAAATACTTTTGCTATAATTAGCTGAAATTTAAGCCTTCCATCAATTACCTAATTTAAGAAAGTGACGCCCGTGCAGTGCCTGGGTGTGGCAGGCAGAATGCTCCTCGTGTCTCTATACGTCCGTAAACTGGGTCTGTAAACAGGGTAAAATAGCAGCTCTAAATCGCACCGCCTGCGGGTTCAGGTTAGGTGTAGTGCTTAAAAATGAATGTTTTTTGTGTGAATCTGTTTCATTGATCGATCAAAAATTTATTGAAATATTTTGCGCTGTAATATCATGCGAAACTGAAAACGAAAAAGTGTATTGTTTTTCAATATTTAAAAACCTGGTGGAGAAATAAGTAAACAAAATGCGAGCTAAATGGAACTTGTGCTTTGTGTGGCCGTTTTTTAGTTTGTTTCGTTGGGTTTGTGCGGGTGTGCTTGCGCGTTGTTTTTGAAAAAGTGAATCAATTTACAATGATAGACCGCTATAGAGTGATTGTTGTGGTGTGATTTGAACTTTTGTGGCGTGATAAACTCTGTTATTAGGCTTTTAAGTGACGGTGATTAAGACTTCCAGTTTCGAAGCCGTCCAAAAAATGGCGGATCTTGGACCCAACAACTCGTTTCTAGGCGTTCAGGTAAGACATCTTGACGACCCCATCCATGTATTAAGATCAGGTTTCATGTATTTTTCATATTTTGCATAGTTATTGCATCACAGAATGATTCGGTGGGCCCATTTTTCATTTACATTTTACTGTGGCAATTATGGCGCAATCAAAAGCACCTACAAATTTTCACATTTTCTAGCCATCATGTGGAAAATAATCTAGTGATTGAAGACATAAGTGAATTTTTACATATTATGCCAAAAAAAAAAACAATTGTTCACATTGTGTTTGTCCTCTCTCCACAAGCTACAAGTGCATCCTGGTTATCGTAGCACAAAAGAATGCAAATTTGTTACTTATGATCTCTAAGTTTGCAACACACAGTGAGGTGAAAGAAAAGGTATTTATGTAACTATAATTGTTTTCTGCTGAAAGTAATGTAATAGCTAAATTTATTAAACACATTATTGGCCCATGTCAACGAAAAATAGACCTATCCAGTCCACCTCCCCAGCGCAGGTGACCGTCTGTTGCTGCCGTAAAGTCAGATGGTGTGCTTGAGGGCGGGGGAGCACAGATTTGACGTGCTAGAAAACCCACAGTTTTTTACGATGCTGCTCTACCCTGTTTAACCTGATTTTGGTCCTCAATTAAAAAAAATTAGATAGCCCAAACCTTCCA